AAAGTAATACGAAAACGTGTTCACTAAGAAGAAAAAGACTAAACGTCACAACAGTCGATATGCTTATATCGGTAGTGAACCAAATATATTCTTTTTCTTATTTTAACTTGAATAAGTTGAATGATAACTGATTCAGAATAAGTGCACAGAGAGCAAGGTGAGAGATGTAGATAGAATTGCGTGTACTTATTTTGATCTCAAATTCTAACTAATTTTGAGATGTATTGCATCATGTTCCCGAAGAGAAAACCGGGTAAAACATGGTGAAATCAGAATTTTAACTGTCATAAGAAAATTCATTCAAGATGAGTTTCTTGCCCATAAAAGTTGTATTTTTTTCTTTACAAAAAAAGGATCTTAATTCTTACAAATAACACCTTTTGGAAGGTCTGTTTGTCTCAATATGATCTCGAAGTTTCAGTCTTACGAATGTTTTGGTGTCTAAAAGTATTTTGTTCCAAATCGCTTTTTATGACGTTATAAAGCAGAGAATCTGTACGAAGGCTAAAAAGAGTGACCTTTTTCTCGTGCAGTTTTTTGTAAATGTAATTGAAATTAGGACTTGAAATGAAACGTTAATTTTTAATTTTTGAATAATATGAGTTTACCTCCGTGGATATAAGTTTCCGCCGCGCAAAACTTTTGAAATCAGATAGAGCACAAAAGGTTTTACAAGGTAGTGAATTTTATTTACATGGTTTGAACAGCACCTTGCAAAAAGTCAAAACCTGAAATATTATTTTAAAATGAATTGTACTTTCGTTTTATAAATACATGGTGCCAATTTTGGCGGAAAAATTCTGAGTTTTGAATTTTTTCTACCTCATTTCTGCTCTTTTTTCTTCTAAGCCATTCTGATTTTGAATGTCTTTTTTTTTTAGCTTTTTCTGATTTTCATGTTTTAGATCTGATATTGCTGGTTGCGAAGTTTAAAAAAGTCGTATTTCTACAACGAAAGGTCGTGGGCAGCCGGGAGCAGTCTTGTTTTATAGAGGATACTTCACTCTATTATGCACTATGTCAAACTCAAAAATGAAAATTTTTTCTAAAAGATTAACTGAGTTTGAAATGAATTGCATTATGTTCCCGAAGAGAAAGCCGGGTAAAACATGGTGAAATTAGCGTCCTAACGATCTCAAGAAACGCTATTTAGAAGGAAATTTTCTTGCTTCCAAAACTTCTTTGTTTTCATGGTATTGAACTTAATAGTTTCTATTGTATTTAATCTTAATTCACAGGTTTGAAATTGTTTTCTAAACCAAAAAAGTGAAGTCTTGAAAAAAGACTTTTCTTGTATAGCTCCATACGAGCTGTCGAATGAAACTGAAATTAAAGTTTCAAAACTTTTAGCTTCTTGAAAAGTAAAATTTTAATTTTTTTAATTTCGCGTGTTTTCTGTAATATTTTAAAAAATATAAAAGATATTTTGAGAAATGTAAATAGAAAGAAAATACTTTCAATAGTAACGTGCGTCGTCTAGTGGTTAAAGATAATTACTTGTGAAACGAGTGGTCACAGGCTCAGTTGCTGTCGTTCTTTTCCTCACTTTTTAGAACATTGTCGAGTTTTTATTTTAATTCATTACTATTTTAAAACTTTTTAGCATTAAAAAGTAGCATAAGAAACGAAAGCAAAGAGCGTCGCCTCTCATAAGGAAATGAGTTCTCTCTTTAGCTATTTCGAATTATCCTAATCACTTATTAGGAATTCTTCATCTTTAAATAAACATCGTTTAAAGCAACGTATTAAATGCTAGTTTTTTCCTAATCTGTTGACTGTTTTAAAATGGCATGGTGATAGACAGTTAACGGTCGATGTGAATTTTAGTTTTGAGGGCATACAGTTAAATGTCTGTTTTTAGTCCATGATTCGTGATGAAATAATGGACTGAAAGCGGTGACCGTCAACAGTCAGTTGTTTAACAGATTTTAACCGATTAAACGTCAATTTTTTAGACATACAGTTAACAAACTATGTAATTAATAATCTAATTAGAAAAGCTATGTAATTCTCAGCATAAGTGCACAGCGATATTAGAGGAAGTGAGAGGAAAAGGTAGATTCACTTAAGGCATATCGTTAAACTCACTTTTCTTAATTGCTTATGCGGATGAGAAAAGTCTTCTTTCTCACATAATCATCAAAACTAAGAATTCCCTCCATGCAGGTAGTTGTTGTTGTGTACTTAAGTCGAAGTTAAAAATCTCAGAATTGATTACAACATGTTCTCGAAGAAAAGTCCGAGTAAAACATGGTTTAATCAGGACTGAGAAAAGGATTCTAAACAACTGCTTGTCGCTCGAGCGTTTATTTATGCGCCAATTCAGGCGTTGTAATGAATCGGAATTTAAAGAAAATTAACTACTGAATCATTATCTTTCGTTGTTGGCGCCGTTCCCTCGAGTACTCGCGCGTTTATTGAAAGTGCGTAGGAAAATCGCTTTTTTGGGCTTATTTTGCGCGCTGAAGGTTGCTGACTTCAATTTTGATATTCGCAGCTGAAGAAATAGTCTAATATCGCCAAATTTTGCTATATATGATACGCTAGGTATTACGACGTGTAACCATTGGTGCTTAATGGCGCCAATGAGAGCGTTGCTATAGGCCATAAGAATGAATTTCGCTATAAAGAGTCGAAAAAGTTCAAACAAAAAAGGGTTTAATCAAACTTTCACGATCACCAGAGCATATAGCCTAGACTATATGGGTAAAAGGAAATCAAATAAAAACACGCGTCTCAGAAGTTGTTTTTTTTCATATGATAGTTACATTGGTATCAAATGCATATATAACAGCGGTATTTATAGATAGACTTGATAATATTTATTTTGTTAACCAAAACAATAATAGTGTTCAAAAATTGAGTACTACAAATGGCTTGTTAACAATTGTAGCTGGTGGTAATATAGTTAATGGTCCTCACGGCTTCGCTTTGAATGAATTGAACAATCCACTTGGTCTTTATGTTGATCGCAGTAGCACAGTTTATGTTTCCGATACTTATAACAATAGAGTAATGAAATGGTTAGCAAATGCTAAGATCGGTAGTGTAGTTGCCGGGGGAGGGATCTATACTAGCGTTGGTGTTGGACGTGCGCTGAATCAACTCAATCTTCCTGTGGGTATTTTTGTCGATGAAATTAATGAGATTGGTGCACTCTATATATGTGATTCAAACAATTACAGAATTCAAAAATGGTTGTCCGGTGCAAGCGCAGGAATAACTGTCGCTGATGGAACTGGTGGTGCGCTTTTAAATCAGATTTCGCAACCATGGTCAATCATTGTTGATACCAATAGTATTATGTATATAACCGATCGGGATATGGGAATGTATGGTAATGGTAATCGTGTAATGAAATGGTTATCAAATGCACGACAAGGACAAGTGACTGCCGGGACTCAATACGGTGTGGGTGCAGGATCAAATCTACTTCATTCTCCACAAGGAATTAAATTTGATTCAAGTTGGAATTTATATGTGGCAGACTGGTATAATCACCGAGTTCAAAAATTTATTTTTAATAAATCAGTGAACACTAGCTGCTAAACAGCAAATCTCAGAAGAACAATGTCAACAAATAAATCATCCTTTACATCGAATTGTTTTTTATATGCTTGCACATAAATATTGTTATTCTCTACAACTATGATAGTTGTAGAGAATATCGTTCAGTGAACGATACCACACAAGAACTCAGCCCTATAAAACATTATGTTCATCTGCTTTTGTTGATAGAAGAAACAGAAATAGAACAAACACAACGCTTTTTTTTCTTCTCTCTTGACTTTTATTCACTTGATACTATTGTTTAAACATTCAAACTTATCATTTTTCCGCTGCTTATAATGTACGCTCTGCGTCTGAGAGCATGATACGATTTATTTATGTTCTTCACTTTTCATTAATAAACAGTTTATACAAAAACGTTAAACACGACTAGATGTTAAAGGACAAAATATAATAAATGAATTAAAACCTTTAACATCAAAATGTCGTTCATTTACAAAGAAAAATTGTCAAAAATTTGATATTTTGTAGAATCGGATTATAAATGTGTTGAATATATCTGGATTTGGGAATACAGCAAATGGCGATTTTAAGTATCTATTCTAGGCTTAAGTTCTGGAAAAGGTAGGATATTCTCCCGACATTGGAGATTGATCAATGCACATTTTCTCGCTTATAAAGGTCCAGACTGGATGCCGTAAGTGTCACAAGTGAAAGAAAACTGTATTTTGAACTTTGAAATTTTTCTTATATTCAGTTGTCGGGTGCCATTTGTTCTTCAGAGGAAAAATATTTCTCTTTGTCTTTTCTTCAAATTTCGTTTTCATTTCATTTTTCTTAAATGTCTGTTAAAGCAACTAAAATCACACGGAACGTGATGTGATGAACTTTGTATTGACTGTGGACCGCTTCTGGCGGATTCAAATCATATACCGACTGTCGACATCGCGACTTGTGCGCAGCACAATTGCTCTCTAGTTTCTCTTTCATTTTTTCTTTTTGTTTGTAAAGTGTATTTGATTGATATAGAAAATCACACACACAATAATATACCTAACGTTTTCTTCCAATAAATCAGATGCTGCCAACTTGTTAGTTTTACAGAGTAAGCTCGTGGTTCTTTTGCTATATGTTTACCACTTGTTCACTACTTTCGAAAATGTACCAAACCATATATTTTTTGTTTTTATTATACTCCTCCTGTTCGAGCACTCATCAAATCTGCGTTTCGTCTCATTTTACTGGATGATAAAAAAATTGCTGTCTTGTCGATATCGCAAGCTGTGCGAAGCACAATTGCAATCTAGTTTTTCACTCTATTTAAGATGCTCCTAGCGTAGAGGAGTAGTGGATTTTTTTCTTTTCTTATCATATATTTCGATAGCTGAAACGTTGAGGATAACGAATATGGGTTTCCTGAATTTTTTCGAGGCTTCCTTCCGGTCGAAAAATCGAAAAAACTCGAAGGAAGTAAAAAAGCTGTTTCTTCGCATCTTTTTTAAAGTTGAATTTTTTAAGTTTCTTTACAACTTGGAATATTCAAACTACCATATCCTTGTTCAGCTTTGGAAAGTGAATTAGAAAATGGTCTGAAAGTCGTTTTAGACCTAAACGCCTGTCCGCCAAGTACGCCTCGAACTGAACGGCTAAAAGGGTTGTGAAGCCTCAACTAACACAGTGTTAGATTCCATGAGTGCTCCTCTTGAAAACAACAAAGAACTTTTTACTAAAATTCCCTTTCCTCGCTGAGGAAAATCGACTTCACTGGGAGAAATCGAAATTCTGACCCTAATTGGCAATTTTCGCCATCAGAACTCAACTTTCACAATATGAAAATACCATATTCAGAATCTGCGTCAAAACTAAATGATCTGAAAGATTTTCGTAGTTTATTCATTTCAGCTGGTTTTTGAATTCTCATTTATATCCATGAAAAATATCTTGTAACCCATGTTTTGTTTGTCAATTAATCTGTTATTATTTTAGAAATATGAACGTTACTTGTAACAAGAAAATTGCCTCTTATATTTCAGGTACTACACATGCTAAGGAATACAATGTACAGTCATCTGGGAAGAAAACAAGAATTAGCACATATCATTGTAAGAACTTCACACCTTCACATGAAGATCATCAGCTAGAGAACAGTAAAAATTCATGTGATGAAGTAAAAATATTCACTAAAAACACAGTTTTTTCAATAGATGGATAGTCCAAAGTGTCCGCTTCAAAGTGCGAACTAAGGAAATTCTTGAGTTTTCCTGGTTCAGACGTGGCATCGGATTGGCTGAGAGTCCCAGGCATGTCGTTAGGTATGATAATTCCGAAAATAATGGAAACATAGATAATCAACCACGCTGAATCTCGTGGCTATATTTGTTTTTCAGAAAATCTTTAACAACCTAGTGAAAGACTATATTAGGTGCAATAACTCATTGTTGCCTATTTTCGAGTATAATTAAAAAAATTCATAATCCAGTCGAGATCAAGCTAAATTATGTCAGAATATCAAGATATACTCTATTTTACCTGCGCAAGACGATTTTTACTTCAGAATAGTAAAAGACATCCTTGTACTTCGAAAGATTTCTAGAAAATCTTTTCAAAAGCCAAAGTATTTCTGTTGATTTTTAAAGCTATTGTTGAACTGCATAGTATTGAACAGGTAGAGTAGAGTACATCTTGATATTCTGACATAATTTAGATTGATCTTGACTAGATTATGAATTTTTTAATTATATTTGAAAATACGCAAAAATGAGTTATCCCAGCTCTGAACTGACAATAGACATTTAGGACTTTCCTGTTAAATTCCATAACTTTGCAAACAAAGATAGTGTAGAGTTGGGCGATGTCTCGTTTTAATTACCCTTTAACCTATATTATGTGAGATAACTCATTTTTGCGTTTTAAAGCTATTGATGAACTGCATAGTATTGAACAGGTAGAATAAAGTACATCTTGATATTCTGACATAATTTAGATTGAGCTTGACTAGATTATGAATTTTTTAATTATATTCGAAAATACGAAAAAGTGAGTTATCCCACCTAATACAGGTTAAAGGGTGATTAAAATGAGGCATCCCCGAGCTCTACACGATCTTTCGTTGCAAAGTTATGAATTTTACTAGGAAAGTCCTAAATGTCTATTGTCAGCTGAAAGCTACAGAAATAAGAACCTACTTAACTTATTTAACTTAATTCAACTTATTTAACTTAATTTAGGACTTTTCTTGTAAATTGTATAACTTTGCAAAGAAAGATCGTGTAGAGCTAAGAGATGTCTCATTTTAATCAAAAATTTGCGCTCTACAATCATGCCACATTGAAAAGAGCTTTTGCTTATTCTTAAGAGTTTTTGAAAAACTGGTTTTCCAGAAAACCGGGTCTTCAGAAGTCATGGGCACGAATCTTTTAGGGTATTTATCACCTCACTCAGGTCAATCGGTCCATCTATAAATCATTGGAAATGTGTCACTAGATATCTTTGTTAGTTTTTGCCTAGTTATTTTTCGATCTCGTTTGAAATACTCATCGAACAGACTCTCTGGGGTCTTCATTCTCTAGGTGGTTCGATGATCTTCCTATTCATTGGTATAGTTTCAATGGTGCTACTAACTAACTTTTAGAAGCACGAACACAGATGGCTTCATGATCATTCGATTGTCACTAAACAACAAAAGTCATGATTGCTTAGATCATCATCTATTAAGTATATTAAATTAATTCTTTTTTTTGGCTGAAATTTTCAGGAAATTCTAATGACAAGATCTGTTTGTGGACAAACATTTCAGGTCGAAATTTCATCATTGGACTTTTCTAGAAAGAATTTACAGTCATAAAAACATTCTTAAATCTCAGTTTTTATTTCTACATAATTATATTCATTTCTTTTTAACGGAATCTTCACTTTTAATTTTCTTTTGGCAGTCCTTGAGAAAATAACAAGTTTTACTCTTTGTTTAAGAGCATCCGAAGTCAAGCCATCTGATGAGATAGGTCCTTTGTCGGATCAAAATCGCGATCATGGTAGCTCGTCTCACTCTCACTCTCACTCTCAAGTCATCACATATATATGTATGCCTTTTAAGATTATGTATATTTTATTAAAACTCTTCTCATGAATCTTTTTTCCTTTTCTTTTGCAAAGGCATGCTCGAGAATACGTTGTAAGATTCTTTGCAAATATTAAATCTATTCATGTATAATAACGAAACGTCAAAAAGCATTGTAGAAATTCTTTCATCATTAGCTTTACAAAATATAGTGTACTAACAAATCGTTCAAATTAATCGTCTAACTTGTCGATAAAGAGTTTAACATACGATGTGTTCGATTTCTATCAATATTTACAATAGGATGAACCATTCTAGCTTTAAAATTATACTGACACTTTTTGATCATTATTTTTTCTTTCATACAAATTCAGGGATCTGGCAACAATGTGGTACCCATCTCACATCTTTATAAAATGAGGTATGTATCTTTCGTCATGAAACGAATCATAACCCATATCCACACAGGTACTATAGACACTAATGTAAACTGTCAGTTTCAGTTCTTTATAGAGCCATTTCTTTGCGGCATAAAAAATGAATTGTTGATGTTTTTTCAATGTCTTTTACTTTGCTAACACTCTTCAAAAATGCTTTTATTACCAAAGTTCTCATTCTATTTATTTTCAATAGATACTTTTTTCGAACTTCATTTTTCCTTTCGGTTTGTATCATGATTTGTTCATTTAAATAAACAAAAATCCACTCGATCATTATTCACATATTCTTGAAAGAAATAGCAAAATAATTGTCAGTATGCGATATAAATTTGAATCACTTCAAGTGAAGAGGTGTCACTCAAAGTGAGAGACACTTCGAAGTGTGTGCAGCAAAACTGGAAGTTATTTCTTCCTTGGTTTTACGTCGTTTGAAGTTCTTTCCATCATAAATTAGATACAATAAGAACAAAAATTCGTAGTTCACTTCAATAACAATAATCATTGTTAATGTCATCTGAAATTAGTTCCTTCCTTTTTCTATA